AACCACACACAGTGATACCGGTAAGTTTCCATATGTTCATGCATACCAGTACAATTTGAACTTCACCTACATACATTACTGTACCTGTATTCCTAGTTAACATGGCTACTTCAAACAAATTGGAACACTCCTCCATACAACTAAAAAAGTTCTTAAAAAAATACCTGAACATGTGTATGAACTTACAAAAAAAAATGACATTTTTTCTTCTTAAATTATGCAATTTAAGAGAGCACATGAAAAAGGACATGTACATGTATATGGATAATATATAATGGTGTATAGTTTTTGCCATGTACTGTACATGTACACATTCACGTACATATACACGAGTAACTTAATTGTGGGGGAAATGATGTCATACAATGCCCTGTTCCGATTGGCTGGCTTTGTCAGATGAGGACCCCACCAATCCAAACATTGGGCCCGGGTGCATGACCTGAATTCAGTGAGCATAGAATTTTTTTCTTCAATGTGAGTGGCTATTATTAGAAGGAGGGCAACAAAAAATGAAAAACTTGATATTAAACTCACGTCTGATAAATCAAATAGAATGATGAATGGGTCCGTGTGTGTCTGGGGTCTGTTTGTGTTAGGACAGAGAGGGATTACGTCCTAACTTTTGCGTTGCCTAGATATTAAGTCACTTGTATATGACCCACATATGCTAGGTTGGGAGACCACTGCACTGATTTTGAAGAATAAATGCGAGCACCATACAACACAATCACTCTCCCACCTCCCCAATAAAAGAGGACAATCTGAAGTTGAACGTCTAGCCAACATGCAGTATATTTTCAATGGTTGTGCTTTAACCTCCTGCTGTCTGAACAGTCACAGACAGTAAAATAAAATCAATCCTCTTCCCCTGCCATGCCTTTTACACAGGCTAGCCACCAACAGTCAGATCATATTTCAAGCAAGCACTTTGACTAGTCAAATTCAGTCAACAGACAAAATCAGGCAAGTGGTAAGCACAGCTGTCTTATCAATCACCTACAGTCAAAGTATAGTGTTAATTAAACAGTCACTCACAGCCAGTTAATCCTGCTTTGTAGGCTGGGAGGTCTGAACCGTTAAAAACAGTCACTTGATTGAAAGGACAACTTTGCACAGAATGTATGTTTGCATAGTTGTGAATGGATGCAAATGTTATTTGGGGCAACATATCTGAATAACAAATACAAGTAAATGCAGACACATACAATGTATAATGTATCGGTATGTTTACACCTACCTTACAGTACAAATGTACATGTATGCAAAGGTGTTTGTGTTTAAAAGAAACTTTCACCTGCTATTCCTTAATTTTATTTTTATTTATCACTGCTACATGTACGATTTCAACATCAATTTCAACAACCACCAAAAGGTACATGTAGACGAACATGTACATGGACAATTTACATGTTAACTGTAGAGAGGTAGCAAGTGTATCATTCTATGATCAATTAAAAACACAACCATCTAACCGTTTCATGTGAAACATGTATGTATATATGGCTGTCTACCAAACATCTGGTTTCAGAAGATACAATGAACATGAAATACATATACCCTGTATACACAAAGAAACCCAACACTTTTTACTGAACTGTATCTGACTCTGTTCATTGTCTATTCATAATTGTACAAATTTGCATCATGTATAAATGTACATGGTATTCAGAAGGAAAGACTGAAAGGGTTTTCATAACAGGAATTAAAACTAGAAATGTAATTCACTGTGAACATACATGTACGTTACATGTTCACAGCACAAGTACATGTACACGTACAGAATAGGAAGCACTTCTGTTCAACCCACCAAAAATGTTCCAATATTACTACCTGCAACATTAGAAAAATCCTCAGTGCAATTACACATTGTATGAGCATGCCCGTATGCGCATTGATGTCACCAGAAGGTCAGCGATTAATTATCCAAAGAGACTGGCTCTGACGTCAATTAATTCTCATCGGCTCAAGGAGGCGCATTTAGGTCACCGCAAGCGTAAACCCGGGTGGGGGGAAGGTCGACAGGAAGTTTGTTCTCATTTTCCCGGCGCAAATGCCCGTAGACTTGTCCAGCCGGAATCTACTCTGCTCAAGTGGTAGGGATAGGGAACGGAAGAACCAGGCTAGATAGAGGGGGAGGGGGAGGGGGCTTATGAGGTAGAGAGAGGCACGGAACTTCTTGTGAAGGATGGGGATGTGAAAGGGGAAGCCCGTAGGACTGATATGGGGGAAGCATAAATATGTGCCAATAGCCTTGTCCGTTCTGCAACCTCACAGGAGAGATACACATTTCAGTACATGCACACTGCTCTCTTCAATGATACTTTGTTTCACTCTTTATTTAACCCTACCGGTAGGTACATGAAGCTTTCATGTCATATTTGGCTAGGAACCTTAGTGAATCTTCAAGAATTTGCTAATCATGGTATTTTCTTTCAACCTATTTAATGATATTAAGGGGCATCAAGCTCTGTGGAAACCAACACTGTGGCTGGGCTCTGCCTTCCTCATTCCTTCAAAATCCTCCTGAAAACCTCCAGGTGGATTTTATGGGGTCTGGGAGGGTTAACTTTGGAAGAAATACATTTTTTTTTACCGTGTACATTATTTAAAGTGTTGCCAAAACCAAAGAGGAACGACAACCATAATGGTTACTACCATGGAAATAGGTACATACATGTTGGTTTAATTACAAGTAGATTGACAGGGGTTCTAACAACCTTCTAATCAGTGGAACACAAATTTCCAAAATTTGCAGATATTTATCATTATGGCCCAGCCAAGTCCTTACACTAAACAAATCAAAGAAAAGATAAACCAGCTTGGTCTTCAATCTGTTACATTAAAATGGGAGGAGACGAGACGAAGGCCTGATTAAGGGGTTGCCAGGGGCAACCAGGGTTGAAGTCGGTGAGCAGACACCGAGCCAGACACAGGACCATGACTAGGAGTAGGATGACGTGCCATGTGATGGTTTGGAATGATTCATCCATCAGCTGGAGGAGAGAGTGAGCCAAGTAAATGAAACACATCCATAATGATTCAAGGGCAAGGTCTAGATTCAAATGGCCTTCCAATCATCTCTACCGGTAGGCTGGTTGGATAGTTTGTCAATTTGGATAAGACAACATTTAGACAACGCTAAATAAAAAGGATACTGCAACAGTATTTTCGTTCTATTTCATTTTCTTTCCACGACAAAAGCACAGGTATTTTGAAAGCCAGCTGTTACAATTTTTTTCTTTTCAGTTCATTTAAACTATGAAAAATGCTAACTTGGGAATATGTTCAGTTTCTGGCACAAGGTTATTTGATTAATTAGTATAGAAGTAAACAAACCTGTTTGTTTCCAGGCCTGTAGTCAAATAAAGCGAACCAAACTACGCTCCCCAAAATGCACTTTAAATGACAGTTCTGATGCAAGCATCAGTGAACAAACACAGCCCCCCCCCCTTCCCCTCACACACAAGTGCGGCTCTTTCACTATCAGAGTTCCAAAGGCCAGGCGTGATGTGGCAACGAACTGTCCCATGTGAATGATTAACTTGACCCCAGGAATAGAAGCAGGTTAATGCCAAACAACTTCATAAGTAATTCATGAACCCTGATGGTCCCCTCTCTCAGCAAACTCCATGTGAACGGCCACACAACCCAGTGAACTTTATCTCGACATGCATGTCATTAAGGTTTGTGCTGGACAAAGTACAACACTAAAGTTCTGCAAAAGATACATGTCATAATTTGAACAGAACCCTAAAAGAGCATTATGAAGCCTTTTTGTGTTATTTACCACAAGGCAGATGTGAACTAAATTTGTGACACTCCACTCCAGCACAAAAAACAATCGGAAGTCACACGGCCGCATTTCCGTCAGATTTTGTCCAATTCCCATATATCCTAATCCTACACATCATTTGAAATCATATATTCAATGAGCTTAAAATTGCAGTTTTCAAAGATTGGTCAAAGTGACTGGTGTTGCGCTGTAGGGTTAGTGAGGCACATTCTAGTAAAAACTCAAATTGAACATGAGCTGTACATGTACAGTACACTGTAATGAGCGTGATAATGTGCAATTAAAACACTTTTTTTCAGAACAAAGATCATTACAGGCTGAATGGCTTATAAACAGATGTCCAATTTTGCCAGAATTTCCCCTGACCAGGAACTTGACATAAAGTTCATGGCCGACTGGTCTTCCTGTTGCCATTCCAACTGCAGCTGCAAGGTTACCGTAGTGAAAATGTCAAATTAAATTGTTGGCCCTTCCAAGTTCCAGCCAACCAACCCTGGTGTGGCTATAGCAAGTAGCAGTTTTCGCACAATTTTCCAAAATATTTTGTAGTTTTCGTACAATTTGAACTTGGATTCACAAATAAGTCTATAACACGTTTGTTTCCCAGTGACTACTACATGTACCGGTATGACAGTGATTTTTCGTTTTTTCATGTCTGATATCTTTAAAACATTAACTCACTCCCTACTCTAGGCATTTTTGAAAGGCAACTTTTTCAATCCTTTTAAAATCTACCACTTGTTTACGTGTGCTTTTTTAATTTTAGGGACATCTTTACCCGTTTTGGAGACTGAACAGCACTTTCCTAATTCCTACATATACAAAAATCCTTTCAGACCCTCCTAACGAAGTGGATTTAAATGATATTGGGCAAACTTACTACAATATTACTACACTGATTGTGAAAGGGACACATTTTAAGTTTTAATGCCAAATATTTGGAACTCGATTTAGTGTAATAAATATTTTTTCCCTTTTCTCTGAATTAGAGACACAATCACATCATTTGATGTTTTGAATTTAAAAGTGTTTATGAATCAATTGGTCCTACAAAGATACTTCAAGACTAGTATGACAATTTGACAAAATATTTCTAATTTTCAGGGAATCACACTTCAAACACAACACAATACTGTATGAATTAAGATTGATTTGTTCTTTCTGTGCTAAAAATCTGAATTAGAATCATAATAAAGTTAAAACTTACGGGCTTCAGGCATCTTTAGTGGCATTTGTTCCTTGTGTCACCAAAATAAACAAGACAAGAAAAAGTTGGAAGGCAAACTCCCCGAATAACACCAGGCACGGATAGAAGCGACCGTCACGAGAGGAGAGACCCGTCACGAGAGGAGAGACCCGTCACGAGAGGAGATCGTCACCAGAGAAGAGGACTCCAGAAATGTATGGATCACAATGATGAATATGCACGCCCAAATAGGCGATAGGTAAGTTATTTCAAAGGAGCAATCCGAAAGATATTCAGGTTCTGGCGAGCAAATCTTGTCCTGAGATCTTGGCGATGAGAACTGTATGGATCCTGTGCAGTCAATGTAACTCGGGACTTGGCTGTAGTGTCTACCAACTAGCAGGAGAGAGCTTTGTTAAGTGCAGGAGTCATAGGGTCAAACAGTAAAGGCCTACTGGAAGAGAAGTGCGGTACACACCAAGCACATACAGCCTAGTATTACAGGCACACATGTGCGGATAGCAGCAGGGTTGGTTCAAACAGGAACAGCTTCACATGGCATCACACGGCACAATCAGGGACAAAAATAATCCTATGGAATCAGAGCATTTTACTGGAATTACACAACTGGTTACTCCGTGGCTACACTACAGTGTACATAATATATAAAAAAAGATGAAAGGAAAAACCGCACCGATACACACACACACATTCACAGGACTATGTACAAACTGTACATGTGGTCTGGGTCACAAACCACTCAGAGCTGGTTGGAGATGTGTGTGAGTGGCGCTATTGCTGGGTTAGAGCATTAGGGTCTACGGGTCGATGGATCGATGAATGGAGTCTGCTCAGTGAGTCTACTGACTGCCCTCAACGTGTGCGTGCCGCGCACACTACACTCCACTGCTGCTCAAGCCACAATGAATGACCTTTACTGCTCTCTCATCATCATCATGACCGTGTGTGTATAAATACCCACACAGCTGGGCCATGTTGGCATTTCAAGGGCGTCTAAGTCCAAGGCCCCTTAGGCCTGTAGGAAATGGCTACCTTGTAAACACACACACCCACCCACTGGGTAACCTGATGCCCTATTATTGGCCCCTAACACAAAAGGAAAGGTGGACCATTGCCAGGAAGGGATTGTAAGGTCATCACCATCATTAATATCAGTTTCCTCAGGTTTATAACATCGCACAATAAGGACAGGAAAAAATACCTAGAAAGATGTAATCAAAACGTAAAACTCACCATTTAGTCAGAAAGCAAAGTAGCTCATTACCAGTATGGATTCAGGCATTTTTTTTCATATACTTTTGAATGTCAGCAATGTTACAAATGACTACCCACCAGCAGAACGAAATATAACAACAGAACATTATTGTCCAAGCCACATCTCCTATATGTACCGGTACATTAACTTCCTAAATGTATGAATGAATAGATTCCACATTAAAAATTACCACAACACACTTTAAATTATTCAGAACTACATGTAATTGTGCGTACACGTATATGCTACAATACTGACTACTTTCAAATCAACTTTACATCGAGACTTCTGGGTTTTTTAACCAAGGGTATATACCCATATACATGTACATGTATCCCAAATAATTGTTTTAATCACATGCACTTGTACATTGTACCATTATTACCACATTGATGATTTTCAATGGGCAATACTGTGTACATATGTTTGTAATTAGGTTTGTTCTACGAAAACCAAACAATGTCATTCACATAACCAGCTTTGAACTCACTTGAGACTTAGCTACCGGTATTGTGAATTGCGGTTTATGGCATTTGAACAATGTTAATTGTATGGTTTTCCATCCGGTTTGATTCCTATCAATGACTCAGACGGATTGTAAACACTATCCCTGCCTACATCTACACAAAAAATGAATGAAAGCTTTTTTCCTTGGAAAGACTGGGACTTTACAATGTGTACAAAAACTAGTAAATGTAGTGTAAACGGAAAGAACGATCTGGGAACTGTGGGGGAAATACACAAAAAGCTAACAGGAGACAACTGCAAGAATAAAGCAAAACTGTAGGAATAAAGCACTCTGAATGTTTATGTACATGTACGTACAGTATGAATTACAATTTGCTACACAAACAGTCAACTAATTTCATGATTTATTTCTACATTTGTAAGTTGAAAACAAAATTGCTTGTACGGGTATTTCAGTAGGCCTAGATAAAACACAAGAATTTATTATAAAGGCTTAGAAACAACAATAATGTTGTTTTAACAGAACAGATGGACAATTTTGCCCGGAATTCAGTTTCAGACCAGACACTAATGTCTCTCTTACAGGAAATACCGGTATGTTGGATTACCATGGAGTACGTGTTCTCATGACAGCATAATGCATGCACAGTGTAATTACTTTGATATGTCAGTTCTGATCAAATCAAAAATGAAATCAAATGTCTGATTCAAACCGTATCAAATTTCGGAACGGTAATTTTAAAACCTTTTTCTGATGAACATATATTGCTCACAAACCCTTGTTTAATCATTTAATGTCTCAGATGAGACACTCTGAAATTGCGAGACTCGTTCAGGACAACCTAATTATAAAGAACACTAAACTGAAAAAGAGAAAATGAAGGAAGACTCACCAACTTACGAATGTTCTCACTCAATGAAATGTTGACAGGGAAGTGGTCAAAACCTGCAGAACGGTAAGAAGTTTATAAATCACATTATTTTATACCCAATTTATATTGTAAAAATTACTACTTGTCCCTTTTGTAATCTGGCTCAGTTTTCACTGAAAATCTCACACTTGCTTTCAGCTGAAAGGAAGAAACGATCATGTTATTCACAAATTTATATCAACAAGCATGAAATGGCATCACTTACAATTGAAATACACACATGTACATTTGACAGAAAGAGCACTGTACTGGTATATTACCAAACTAGCCTGCCCAAACACAATTTTCAGGCCAATTTTCTATAATGTAACAAATTTATCAAGTACACGAACATGAATATTGAAATTTCAGAAATGAAATTTTACTGACTAAAAAAAGAGGAGTCCCTACTGATACATAAGAAACAAAACATGTGCATGCCCTAAACCAATGAAGTACTACGCACCTCAAAACAAAACGTTCCTTATGCCGTTCAAAAATTGATGACGGACAGAAACACGAAGCATCCGGCGCCAAAATGCCACACCATGCAGTTTAATCTCCTCACATAATACGTGCTGTCTTTTGTTTTTTAATGATTCCACAGTCTCTTCCACCACGTCATAAAAAAAATTGAATACACGCACACTGTAATCTGACTGTGAATCATAATAACTGACTGCCCATGACATCAGGGGATTACGTAACCAGAGAGTCAATTTGCATAGAATGCAGACAACTCGGTTCTGCTGAAATAAAAGGTCAGTCAGGTCAGCCATGCCTGACCACTGAACAGGGTTGGCTGTCGTGTGGCTTATGGACATCACAAACTGACCGTTAGAACACGGACATGCATTCATGCGGGCATTTTGGTACTTGATGTGCTAATCCGGAATCTCTGTGGGTGCTCAGGGAGTGTCCAATTACATGTTTGTTTGTTTTTCGTTCATCAAACTCCTAGTCTACAGTTTCTACCACCAATTCATGTGTGAAAACAAAGTTGCTGACTTAATTTTTGGAGGATATTCCGAATGTTTGATTTAAATAATTAAAATAATAATTTTGAAAAACAACAGTCATTAAAATATGTTTTCTCATTACATGCATATAGAGCAATACTTTACTTTGTACGAAAACCTCAATAAAAAAAAATCTTGATTAAACCTTTTCTAACAAATTGGAGTGCAGTGGACTGATGTAGCAAAGGAAGAATGACTTTGAATGTGCTCAACTTCAAATGTAAATTGCTGAATTCTGACAAAATGTCATGAGTGACCTCAAAAACAGTAAAATATTCAGCCATGGAACAAAGGCAAACTGTTAACACCCATAAATTTATGTTCCCGCTTTTCGACTCTGAGAAAACAAACACATCCAAGTACAGTAAAAGGTATTTCCAAGTATTCTGGCATTGATGTGTCTTTCAAAGCCCCCAGTATTTGTTTAGTATTCCTGCCAAGTTGAGCATGTGAATTGATGTGATCCAAGCCCAGTAACTTGCTTTCTTTTTACAAACTCTCCTTCAGGAACCTGGATGGAAGGATACATGAACTGACAGTGAGGACTAAATCATAAACTTCTTCCATCTGACATGCTGTACAAATAAACACGCATCGACATTCTGGCAGATTCCAAACAACATTCTGTGTTTATGGTCCTTGACGGAATGTACTTCTTCAAGACTGCTTGAACATTCAGGCACAACCAGGAACCAGTATAAATAGTCAACATGTAAGCGAGAAGAATCAAATTCTGTTTTCTTTTTCTTCTTTACAAATTCAAGGGTATAGGCAGAACAACATGGAAAATCTGTTAGCATTTTTGGGGAATAGTTTCAGGTTACAAGAGGGAGACAAACAGGACGCCGAGAGTTTCGAAAGGGAAACTCTTGTTGTTTTTCCTTGATAAAACGAAAGGCATGAGCAAATAACATGTATAATATGATCATGAACATGGCTCCCAGTAGGCCTACACAGTACATCATAATAAAGACTTGATTGGACACTCATAGTCCAACAGGTGCACACAATCAAGAACATGAAGAGACTAGGGAAACTGACCTTATCAAGGGACACCAGGTGCTATCCCCCCAACCACCTCCAGACACCCCCTGGTGCTCATTAAAGAGAGATGAACAACACAAACAATGTGGGGCCTTAGGAGCTCCCCCAGCCTTAACAATAACAGATCCTGCACTGACAACAACACTGCTGCCTGCGTAGCTGATAGAGCCGGAAACTGTCACTTTCAAGCTAAAGCCTCTTTAGAGAGGCTCTTGTTTTTGACTGAAGGTGGGGAGCCTTGTGCTTTCAGAAAAAAGAGATGACTCTACCCACAGACAATGCCTTTGTGATGACAGTAACATTGGTGAAGGACACAATACTGACTGACACCATGGGACTACAGCCCAGTACAGGAAGCAAAGTACATTGTACTACATTGTATTTATACAGTTACATGTACAGTGTAGCACCTGAACTACATTGTATTACATTGTATTTATACAGTTAGCACCTGAACTACATTGTATTACATTGTATTTATACAGTTAGCACCTGAACTACATTGTATTACATTGTATTTATACAGTTAGCGCCTGAACTACATTGTATTACATTGTATTTATACAGTTAGCACCTGAACTACATTGTATGGTATTACACTGTATTCATACAACTAGCACCTGAACTACATTGTATTACATTGTATTTATTCAGTGATGATTGATGAATCCATAAATTGGGTAATACAGGAAAGGGCAGGGAGGTTAAAAAGTGTTTTCAATCTGTTTTGAAATAATGGGTTTTGTAAGACACATTCCATTATTTTTGGAAAGTGCTTGTTGAAATTGTAGGAATTTCATGGAAATCTTTATTGTGATGTCAAATAATGGCTGTACTTAATAAACTGGTTGACAGCAAATTCTGTGTTTTCCAGTCAACTTCATGCCTGGGTAAATGCAGCTTCTACTTTTTGCTGGCAAACACAAGGATTTCTTTGCATTAAGCACGTTTCTGCCCTCTAGAGGCAAAAGCCACCCAGTTTCTATTGAGTTTGGAAATCTGACATGTACTTCCTGTCGGGTATGAAAGACTAAGGCCAAGTAAAAAATAAAACAGCTTCTCCTCCACGCTGTTTTAAAACACCAAGGAGGCGGGCGCTGCCTTTTTGTTTTTTTCCAAGGTGGCAGATTTTCCAAGATATCGGATGGATTTTTTCCATGTTCTTGACTCTTGCTCTATAAATTGTGTTGAAAGGAGCCGTAACCCTTTCTACATACGGTAGTTACAATTTTATTGGAAACAAATTTAAAAAAAACATATTGACAATGTATAATTGCAAAATATATTGCAAATGTATGAATACAATTTTGTAAAAAAATTAAGGAATAAGAAAATGGGCAGGCATGAGAAACTGGTATAAATGTTTACTTGGCCTAAAAGACACCACATGTTCGTAACAAGGGAATGTCACTTTAACATCCTGTGTACGGAAAGGTCTAACATAGAGTAGGTGTTTGAACAACAGGCTATACACCCCGCCCCCCCCCCCCCCCCCCCCATACCCAAAGTAGGTCCCAATTTCAGCCAAATTATGTAATTTCCTATTTGGGGATAATGCAAGTACGTGAACATGTATACTGGTGCAGCCCATTAGAAACAGTTAAACTGCACAAGAGAGCCTACAAAGTAAAGACATTTAAGGGAAAAAAATCACCA